GTTACCATATGACCCATTAATTCCACTCTGTCATGTGGAATTACTCCAAGAACAAACTTGTACCTGAATGTTCACAGCAGCATTACACATAAGATCCAAAAAGTAGAAACCACCCAAATGTCAACAGATGAATAAACAAAATGCAGTATATCTCTACAATGGACTATTAGTCAATCGTAAAAAAAGAATAAAGTAGGAAGGAAATTCTGACACATCCTACACATGGATGACATGATAGCAATGTTCTTGAGGACATTATGCTAAGTGAAATAAGCCAGTCACAAAAAGACAAATACTGCATAATTCCACTTATAGGAAATACCTAGAGTAGTCAAATTCATAGAGCTAGAAAGTAGAATGGCAGGTGCCAGAGGCTGGAAGGAAAGAAAAATGGGGAGTTGTTATTTCACGGGTCTAGAGTTTCAGTTTTGCAAGATGAAAAGAGTTCTGGAGATCTGTTGTACAACAATGTGCACAGTTTACTGTATGTCACACATAAAAATGGTTAAATGGTAAATTTTATGTTCTGTTTTTTTAACCACAATTTAAAATTAATTTTTTTTAAAAGCACGGTCTTGAGTAAAAAACCTTAATAAAAATTCATTTTTATCATGCTATTAAAGTATAACAGACATGGAAAGAATTTTCAAATTTGATAAAGAAACTTGCTGGCTGTGTTTACCTTTATTTTTTACTCTTCTTAGAGTAGTGAAAACAGACCACTTGGTTTAATTTTGATTATTTTTACTTCCTGGTTGCTGCCTGATTATGCAATTCTTTTGGTTACAAATAGAGAGGGGAAAGTTTATGTGCCAGTCTATTATATTTATGTCATTACATGAAAGAAGACTGATAAATGTTTCTATTTATATCAAGTTTTAATAAAAACTTAAATCTTCCCTAAGGTCTATGAGCTGATGCTATTTTATATTCTAAATTCATTCTTATTTTAACTGATTTTATAATACACTAGCTTCCTCTTTCAACAAACCTAAAGGTTATAGAATCTATCTTGAGTAATACAGAATATGTTGCATAGCTTTTGAAAATTTCATCACAACTTCAAAATGTAACTACTGCTTGTCTTTGACAATTTGATAGAAGATATGCTAAAAAGGACAGATATTCATTACAATCACATGCAAAAGGCCAGCTCCCAGAATAGCTACTATTCCATATGTGCATCATGTGATTTCCCAAGTTAGCATCTCCGCCTTTAAACAATAATCACACAGATGCATTTTTAAGTGTCTTAAAGTCACAATAGCATCCATTTGCTATGAACTTTATCCTAAGCCTTGTGGGGGCTCTATTATTAAAATTATGTACCTAGAACTACTGAGAAAGCAGTTGTGACTAAGATGTCAAAGTCCCCAGGACATACTATCTCAACATTTTTCATTATAATCAGGATCCCTTAAATTGTTCTCTGGTAAATTTTGTGACAATATCACTGGCTGCTTCTTTCTGTATAAGAGGACACAAGTGTGTTTCCATGTAAGGTATACCAGAGACACTGGGGATGGTTATTTGTAATTATAAAGTGATATTACATTTACTTTATTCTCTGTTTAGCCAAAAAAATTGAATGCTTGGGCAGTTGCTATATACTAGGACCTGCTTGACTGGGGCCTGAATGGGAACCAGATTGAGCTTTGTGAAAAGAATGAGGAGACAGTCTCCTTGGAGAGGGTTCCCACTCTCATCTACCATTTTCATACATTACTTGATTCGATCCTTTCAATAATTCTTGGATGTTGTAGGGAAAGAAATTGAGGTTCAGAGCAATGAAGTGATTTGCTCAAGGCATACTCTTTCTCTTTCATTCATTCTTCATTTAACTAATATATATTCATCAACCCTGCCTATCTGCCTAAGGAGGCGCAGGGAATACAACTGTCAACAGAAACCAATCCTGCATTCCATGCTCTTACAGTCCAAAAGGAGAAACAGATACGGAAGCATCCAGGGTGTGTGTCTTTGAATGGCTGACCCTACATGCTAATCATTTACCATCCCCCAGGGTTCACCACACCTTTATGTTCTTGTCCTGGCTCACTGACCTCATCTCCTGTTTACATATTATGTATGTGTAATTATAATATATATATACACACAACCATAAACCTATATGTGTATGTAAACACACACACACATATTTAAGGAAATGTGTATGCTCCTTTTTAAAGGTATAGATTTTAAAGGTAAAGATTCCTCTATCTTCCCTGCCATTAAGGGATCATCGAGCTGCATCTCTGCCACTAACAGACCTATTGGCTCCGAGGAAATCTCATCCAGTTTGAGACTTAGTAGTGACAGGACAGTGTCAAGGAAAGAATGTTAATGATTTTTCCACTAGCTGATCCCAAAAGCTTGGCAGAGGGGAGCTCAGTCCACTGAATATTTATATAGCACCTTGATTAAAAGAGCTCAAAGTAGTACTCTAAGTAGCTAAATTATAACTTCATTTGATAAATTACATATTTTTTAAAAAGCTCCTTTACCAACCTTCATTTCTTGTTAAAAATAATCACAAGAAGATCTTCATAGAAAGAAGCCTAAAGAAAAATTGTAAATGGTAATAATCTCTGGGTGATCTTAATTATCTCCTGTATCATTCAAAATTTCTACAATAATTATATGGACTTCTTTTTCAAATACAGAAAAATGTTACATAAGAAATTAAATCTGGGCCATAAAAAAACTCAACCACACTCATAATTTTTTAAATATAAAAAAAAATGATTCTTTAGACCTATCATATTGGCAAGACTATTATAAAGCTAGTATACCTAGTATAGGCAAGGGGACAGCAAACTCAGCATGCTCATATCCAGCTGATGGGTGTACAAATTGGCACCAGCTTTTTGGAGGGCAATTTGGCAATATCTATTACAATTTTAAATGCACATACTTCTGAACCCAACAATTCTAATACTTTTCTTAGATATATACTTGTATAAGGGTGCAAAGATATATGTGGAAGGACATTCAATAAGGAACTTAATTGTGCTAGATCCATATAGAAGAATTTTGCAACTATTAAGATAACTCTATACTTATAATTAGAATTTACGGTTTAATTCAAAAAACAAGTTGTAGAACAGTGAATATAACACTTTTCTTTCTTTCTTTCTTTTTTTTTTTTTGAGACACAGTCTCGCTCTGTTGCCTAGACTCGAGGGCAGTAGTGCAATCTTGGCTCACTGCAACCTCCGCCTCCTGGGTTCAAGAGATTCTCCTGCCTCAGCCTCCTGAGCAAAGTAGCTGGGATTACAGGCACACACCACCACACCCAGGTAATTTTTGTATTTTTAGTAGAGATGGGGTTTCGTCATGTTGGCCAGGCTGGTCTCAAACTCTTGACCTTAAGTGATCTGCCCGCCTCGGCCTCCCAAAGTGCTGAGATTACAGACTATGAGCCACCGTGCCCGGCCCTGTTATAAAATTTTAAAAGAATGTAAATGTATTTATGTGCTTGTGCATAAAATTACAGCATCTGGAAGAGTATTTCAAAACCGAATTGTGGAAATACCTCTGAGGAGTGAGAAGACTGGGGCAGGACAGGGCTTTTTATTTTTATTTTTTAATTTTTATTTTATTTATTTATTTATTTTAAGACAGAGTCTCGCTGTGTTGCCCAGGCTGGACTGAAGTGGCGCGATCTCCACTCACTGCAAGCTCCGCCTCCCGGGTTCACGCCATTCTCCTGCCTCAGCCTCCTGAGTGGCTGGGACTATAGGCGCCCGCCACCGCGCCCGGCTAATTTTTTTGTATTTTTAGTAGAGACAGGGTTTCACAGTGTTCGCCAGGATAGTCTCAATCTCCTGACCTCGTGATCCGCCCACCTCGGCCTCCCAAAGTGCTAGGATTACAGGCGTGAGCCACCTTGCCTGGCCGGCTTTTTATTTTTTTTAATCTAATATTCTTTGATATTATTTGAATTTTGTTACATTAAGCATGCAATTTAATTTTTAACAGTTTTATTGGGACATAATTCATACATCATACAATTCACCAATTTAAAGAAGACTTTTGTGCATTTATACATTCAGTGGTTTTTAGTATATTCAGAGTTATGCAATCATACCTACCGCATATATTTTTTAAAATGAAAAAATATTTTTGAAAGATGCTTCCAAAGTGAACTTACTACTGCCAAGAAAATTTGTGTGAAAGAGAATCAGAAAAAATTTGAAGAGTATAACACTCATAAACAGGGAGGAAAAATATATATGAACAAAAAAAGATGGAGAAGGTCAGAGACAGAAAACAAAGATTTTTTTTTTCTTTTTTTAGAGTCAGGGTCTCACGCTGTTGTCCAGACTGGAGGGCAGTGATGCAATCATAGCTCACTGCAGCCTTGAACAACTCCCCGGCTCAAGAGATCCTCCTGCTTCACCCTCCTGGGTAGCTGGGACTACAGGCCACCATGCCCGGCTAAAGAAAGATTTTTAAATGAGTTTTAACTAAAAGCATGTTAGATCTGTATCCTTAAATAAACACATCTGGATTTTGTAACTAAAAGATCACGGTAAGATATTTGGGCACAATAAGAAAAAGAAATCTTTGATTTGACGGGACTGCAAATACAGTATTTGGATAAACCAGATTCCATATAAAGGTGCAGACAGCTGGATATGAATTCCATCTATGGAAGACGCATAAAAGAGTTTAGAGAACCATGCTATTCTGTAATTTCCAGAAATCTCTCCTGTCTTAGGAATGCTAACAAAGAGGTTCTTACTCTCAAGCAATGAATACTCACTGAACATCAATAATGCTGATTTGGTTAAGTGTATCTGAAAATACAAGGAGAGATGGATAGAGAGAAAAAGATTCCTGAAACATACGACAAAATAACCACAAACCATGCAGGAATATTCTGACCTTTTGGCTCAAAATTTGTCAATGAGAAAACTTACTCTTGAAAACACACAGCGTTTTATGAAAACATTCAGCAAAACTCAAATTTAATCTATTACTTAAAATAAAATTACCTTTTCTCTGAGACATTTTCCTCATTAAAATCATCCTTGAGCACTACAGATCTTAGGAACATTCTGTAGATCATCTTATTTTGTTTTTTCAAGCCTTTAAAAAGCACAGTTCCAAAGTTGTGTAGCTGGAGGCATCTCTGACACCAGGAAAAGCAAACTTTACTTTTCCTGTGTATTCTGTAAAATCAATTAGCTTGATTAGTATATGACCTTATTTACTTAATTAGGGCAGTGTGGTGACTTTAGCAATTGCTGTAGTTCAACTTCACTACAATAATGGAAATGTACACAGGATAGCCACTCCCATGCAAAACCTGTTTTTATAAAGGAGTAAATGTTAGATTAAAAATAAAAGTCACTAGTTTTTGAGTTAGGAGACTGCAAAGTAATCTGGTGCAATAATGTGTAACAAAAATTTAAGATCAGTATGTCATCTGATGAGACGGGTCATCTTTAAAAGTATCTTAAGTGGTAACAGGGTAATAGTTTATTTTTTATTTACTTTGTGGTAATAGTTTAAAAATTTCTCGACTATCTTTTCAAAATCACTCACCTTGTGGCTAACACATGATTAATACTTGATTCCAAATCAATCAAGAAGGAATCCTTGAGAACAAGCTGTCCTTTAATAAAGTGTTATAATATGGTGTATCTATTTCCACATGTGCATGTTTGCATGTGCCTATGTGTAATGCAGAATTTTTTTTTTTTTTTTTTTTTTTTGAGACGGAGTCTCGGTCTGTATCCCAGGCTGGAGTGCAGTGGTGCAATCTCTGCTCACTGCAAGCTCCGCCTCCCAGGTTCACACTATTCTCCTGCCTCAGCCTCCCAAGCACCTGGGACTACAGGTGTCTGCCACCACGCCCGGCTAATTTTTTGTATTTTTATTTTTAGTAGAGATGGGGTTTCACCGTGTTAGCCAAGATGGTCTCGATCTCCTGACCTCGTGATCCGCCCACCTTGGCTTCCTAAAGTTGCTGGGATTACAGGCATGAGCCACCGCACCTGGCCTGTAACGCAGCATTTTATTGGGAATTAATATATTGCACATGCTGGAGACTGTAACTAACAATGTATTAATCTCTATAAATGCTCTAATTGCCTATAACATATTAGGAAATCATATGAAAATAGAAAATGTGGCTATCCCTGGTAATACGCCATGTAGGACAATTATCAGACTAAAATTCTTATTTAATTGCTTAAAAGTAAAACCACCTTATCAGAAAGGTTACCTACATCTTATCCTGTGACCATGACAACAAATTAAAAATGGAACTGCTGAAACCTCCAAAATATGCAAAATGGTAACTGAAAGGATGTCACTTTAATGATAGTTAAAACATCCATCTCCATGGGCTAAATGTAGACACAACTGGAAGCTAACCTTGGCATTCAGGCTTGAGGTTAGACCAGCAGGACTTCTATTGTCATCTGGACAGGTGGCAATAGCCTTAGAAGGGGATGTCAGGGCCTCCAAAGTCTTCTTTTAGATCTTACATCAAGCTACAATGAACCCTGGCTTCAAATGAAAATATGAATGCCAGAAAGCAAAGGCGAAGAGTTAACTGCGGGTTGTTTTTTTATTTCTTAGATGCTAAAATATTTTAAAAAGCAAGGATAGCTCAATTTAGATTACAAAAAGGCACTCTGATGAAAAGCAAATGTGTTCCTAAATGTATGTCGAAGTAGATGGTTAGAAAGCTAATATAGAGTTTGTGGGCTAAATATATCATTTCTTTTAGAAGCAGAACATATTGCTGGGAGAAAAAGTCCTCTATCACAGGACTTATGGCATATAGTAACTAAAATGTTTTTCCATTCGTTGAATTTTCAATGTTGGGGAATATTATTATTCAGTAGACCTAGAGAGAAGTCCTAAATTGGAAAAGCAGCTGAGTCCAAGGTCATCTCTTTGTTTCCAAATATATCTTGAAACAAATGCAAGAAGGGCACTTTGCTGAGTGTTATCTGGACATATATAGTTTCAATCAAATTCTTCAAGAAGTGTCAGAATAAAAGTTGAACATTTGTTTGACACTGCCAAGTCACTAGCAAGTGGGTCTCTTCAAGGGCTGAGGCTCTCCTTGCCGACTTGGCAATTATTCTGTAAAAAGTTCTTTTTCCTCCCCTTAAGAAAAAAAAAAAAATCAAGCACAGTGAAAAACCAGCTTTGAATTCTTCTCACATTTTTTAAAATATAGGAAATCACATAAACTTATAAAAATGTCTCCCAATAAAAATATAACTCTAAATATTCTGTTTCTCAGCTTAATTCCTTGGAATTACCAAATCTTTTTCACAAATCTGAAAATGTTAAATGTAACAAAGAAGTGATGGCATAGATGATATAGAGTTGTAAAATGAATCAAAGAATAAAATAAGGCTGGGTGTGGTGGCTCACGCCTGTAATCCCAGCACTTCGGGAGGCCAAGGTGGAAGGATCACTTGAGGCCAAGAGTTTGAGACCAACCTGGCCAACATGGTGGGACCTCATCTCTCTCTAAAAAACAAAAAACAAAACAAAACAAAACAAAACAACAAAAACAAAAACACAAAAGAATAAAATGCCGAATCTTTGAATTAGTGTAAAAAATAACCCCCAAGGCCGGGCGCGGTGGCTCAAGCCTGTAATCCCAGCACTTTGGGAGGCCGAGATGGGCGGATCACGAGGTCAGGAGACGAGCACGGCAACAACGGTGAAACCCGTCTCTACTAAGAAATACAAAAATAGCCGGGCGAAGTGGCGCGCCTGTAGTCCCAGCTACTCGGGAGGCTGAGGCAGGAGAATGGCGGGAACCCGGGAGGCGGAGCTTGCAGTGAGCTGGAGATCGGGCCACTGCACTCCAGCCTGGGCGACAGCCGCGAGACTCCGTCTCAAAAAAAAAAAAAAAAAAAAAAAAACCCCAAAATACAATGAAACAAATTAACTGGCTTACCACCTGTATTGCTCTTCTCTGTCACAAAAAATAAACCAAACTTAGTCCATGATGGCAGTCTTCTGTGGGAGATGATAATTTGTCATTCCCTACAATGCAGTGAATCTCATTTCATCAACGGTCCAAAACGATATTAAGAAGAACTCCTATTGTTATTACCAACAGACCATGGCTGATTATCGCACCAACTAGAAACCTTCAGCTTCGATCTCTCATTCCCTTTCCAGCTTCATCTTCTCTGTTTCCTCAGCCGGGTCTGGCTCATACCTCAGGGCATTTCCCTTTTGGGGCTTCCTCTTCTCCACGGAGCTCTTCTCCCTCTCGGAGCCAATTTCTACCTCAAGCTTCCATAAGAGTTTTAACTTGAATGTTTTCTCCTCTAGCCTGACCAGATTGCTCCAGCCTGTATTTTCTTCCCGCTTTGGGTTCTGTGGGGATTATTAACTCTACTATCTATGTGGTTTTTCATCCCATTCCAGGAAGCTGAAATAAAAATTTTAGAGACCCTAACTCCCAAAAAATTATAGTTCTCCTCCCACTACATGCAATGAGAGAAACAAAAACTAAACCGTAAAACGAATATAAGGACGTCTAACAGAGTTCTGCTTCTTTCTTTCTTTTTTCTCTTTTTTTCCTTTTCTCTCTTCTCTTCTTTTTGAGACAGAGTCTCACTCCATCACCCAAGCTGGAGTGTAGTGGTGCGATCTTGGTCACGCACCTCTGCCTTCTGGGTTCAAGCGATTCTCATGCCTCAGCCTCCCAAGTAGCTAGAATTACAAGCGCGCCGTCACTAATCTGGGTAATTTTTGTTATTTTTAGTAGAGACAGGGTTTTTGCCGATGTTGGCTAGTTTGGTCTCAAACCCTGACCTCAAGTGATCTGCCCAGCCTTGGCCTCCCCAAAAGTGCTGAGATTGCAGGCGTGAGCCAGCCGTGCCCGGGCTGAGTTTTGCTTTTTTAATGGAAACTTCTGTTGTTTTTGAAATATCAAATACTTCAGAAAATCTGTAGTGCATGTTTGCTACTGGCTATCCAGTACTGCTTTGTTGGTTACATCACTTATCTTGATAACCGGATTTAAGCTGCTTAGAAGTGACAGCCATGCTTTCTTGCTCAATATACTTGCTGTAGGAGCTGAGAAGGGAGAGGTGGGTGATGAATACTTGCTGGTTTCACTCCTGCTGTTCTGCCATTCTCCCCATTTTCCCCTGTCACATCCTTACCCATCCTTCCAAGGCCCAGATCAATTCCTACCTCTTTTATAAAGCCTTGACTCTACTCTTCCTTGCCTCTTCGTGGTCTTCCCTGTAGCTCCAATTGATTGAATTTCTATTGCTCTACAAAATTTAGGTATTTGTTTATTACTTCTTGATGTGTCTACTGTTGTTTAATGCATTGCTAGTCCTGTTAACAACAGGGGCCATATCTTATATTTTTACTGCACCTTTTCATTCGAGTCTAGCTGAGTGTCCAGCACATTATAGAACCCAAGAGCTTGATACATAATAGGAATTCTTTCCCCATTCCCCTATGCACCTGTGTAACTTACTGAGCCATACTAGACTTCTTGTCCTTTCCTTAACATGCCGTATCGGTTAAATGCCTTTATTGTCTTCACTTCCCATGCCTATCAAATTCTTAATTCATCCTTATAAATAAGGCTCAAGTCCCATCTCCTCTGTTAATCTTTTCACAATCCCATCAGTATTAATTCTGCTTCCTCTGAGCTCCCTGTTCTTTGTACACACAGCACTTATTTTGCTGCATAATATTTGAGTCTTCTAAACTGTGAGGTCTTTGAGAGCAAAAACTAGGTCATGTTCAATTTCTATTTTAGCACTTAGCACAGTGTCAGGCACACAAGATAACAAATACTTGCATAAAAATAAATGAATGGACTTTTAATTTCATTCTCCTATTAATCAAGGTGTTATCTTGCTAATTTCCTTGGTTAAGAAAGAAATTGCTGTTGGTATTTCACAGAAAAAGACAAGAAATATCTATATAAAATATTTATAAACTGTTCAGCAGATCTGGATTTAAACCAAATTGATAAATTTTGTGGTTTTGCTTTATTATCTTATGTATTCAATCTTCTTTTTAAATATTTTTAATTTTTATTTTTGAGACAATCTCGCTCTGTTGCCCAGACTGGCGAGTGCAGTGACATGATCTTGATTCCTGCAACCTCTGCCTCCTGGGTTTCAAAGCGGTTCTCCTGCCTCAGCCTCCCAAGTAG